GATTCCATGCCTGGATAGCATACTCTGTGAGTGGGTGAAGGTATGCTGATAGTAGACGGGGGAAAAGCGCTGACTCAAACCGTCCAGAGACCCGCCTTAGCAAGCTGACACTCTTTACAGCTGCGTTGGACACCTTGGTGTAGTTGAGTGAGCAGCTTAAGTTTTCTTGAATAAGGATACCCAGATCTTTCTCACTTGCGGCATATGGCAGTTGTTCATTTCCGAGGAAATACGAAAATCGCCCCTTGTGTCGTTGAGATAGAACCCTAAACGTTGGCACATTGAATTCAATATCGTTCATAATGGACCACAGATAAGCTGCTTTCCTGGAGTACCAGCGACCCCCCTGGTTGCGTTGCTGTATTCCAAATTTTGGCTTCATCTGCGAAACGTAATGATTTTGGCCCCAGTACCTTTGTTAGGTCGTTTATGAATGTTAGAAAAAGTCGCGGACCAAGCACAGACCCACGGGTAACGTCCATAAAACTGGAAAGCAAATCAGAAACGCGAACCGATACGGTCCGATGTCGGAGAAATGCTTCAATTCAACCAAACACGAGGCCCCGAATACCGTGATTATAGAGTTTCCGCAGTAGAATGTCGTGGTTCACCGGATCGAACGCCTTTGAGAGGTCTAGATAAATAACGTCTACCGCGTCGCCGTCATCAACCGCTTTTGTCCATTCTTCTCTTCAAAATAACCGAGCACCGGTATTCCATGTTTAACTTTTCGAGCTAAGTTAATATGTTTGTACAAAAGCTTGGGGTTTGAAATAAGTCTTTGTGCTAGAGATTCTTGATGGTTTAGTTTGTCATTAGTTATTATTATTATTATTAGTTTATCTTCGCTCACCAACTTGTTGCAGTGGTTTCGCAGCAGTTGGTAATTGTTCCAGGTGCATGCATTCGGAAGTCGTTTGTACTTTTCCCAAGAGAGGTCCCTCGGAAATATCCGTTTCTTTGTGCAGCTTCGAATAGGTGATTTCTGGCTGCTGGGTTTGGTAACAACTTTTACCCGCGTCACTGACGCCAGTATTTGTTGCAGACTGTCGGTAAATTCTTGCCATACGACTAAAGGGTTGTGCTCTTCCCTATGAGATATCCATTGAATGGAAGTAGCCAATCTCTGCAACTTTGCATAGTTTATGAATGTGCGAATTTTGTTTGCGTTAATTACTTTGGCAGAAGCGTAACAAATGTATTTGAACAACAGTACAGCATGGTTACTTCGTCCCAGAGAGGTCGTTAGGGCAACGGATTCTATCATCAACTCTTCGTTTGTCAATACTAAATCTAGTATGGATGGTGATTGCAAGTTTCCAAATCTGTTATACTCTCACGTGGTTGTACAGTGGTTGTGAGGCAATTTGCTTTATGAATTGTTCGAATAAGGGATGGGAGGTCATTGGTTTGCTGAGGTTGAGACAGTTGAAATCACCCATTAGCAGAACATGTGTAAATCTTTTTGCGAGAATGTGTAACATAATGTTCGAAAGAGTCATATTGACTGATTCCGTGGCTAACGGAGGGCGATAGATGACACCAATCAAACAATCATCGGGTTTGGACAATCTCAACCCACACCACAGAGTGTCAGGAGTCGAAACGGGAGGGGGGGGGGTTGCTCGCAATCAAGATTTTTTCGATGATAAAGTAGAACACCAGCACCACGAGTAGGGCGATCGCATCTGAGCAGGGACATTTCTGGTAAGGGCAACTCGGAGTCCAGAATACCAGCTGCAAGCTACGTTTCTCTAACAGTAGTAATATCCCACTCATCTGATTTGAAACAAAAATTCGGCTATGGAAATTTGCTGAGGAGTCCTTGAGAATTGGTATAGCAACCGTTTAGATATAATTTCGAGACGGTGTTGGCCATGTCTGAAGCGCCAAAAGTAACTTTCATTATCCTCAGACCGTTGCCATGGTAATTTGGTGAGCAGGGAAGACGACTGATTGAGGTTGTCGAAAGACCGCGACACCCAAGTAAATTTTGAATGAATCCCCATTCTCGTCGATCGTTCTGATGGTTATTAGATTTATCTGGATCGTCCAATTGCGGGACACCGTGGATGAGGACGACCCTCTTATTTTCCTCCTCCCGTGCTCTCATTGGATCGGACTGATGCTGCATTCGTTCCGTCCATGGCCTATCAGAAAAGACCCCGGTTCTGCAGGGACCATTTCTGAGAAGGTAACCAGAAAGAAAAACGCCCTCCAAGTCCTTTTCATCTTTCAGGGTCACCGGGAGTAGTCTGGGTTCCCCGGCATGTTCATTACGAACCATCCTGTTCTCGTAGTTCGGTCTTCAGGCGGTTACTGTTACATGCACCTTTATACATACATTTTGTCGAAGTGTCTGTTGGTCAGCCAATCGGTATCAAGTTGTCTTCAAAGTAACTCATAAAATGATGGTGACGAAAGGCTGTCAGATACAGACAAGGAAAAAGGACTTTAAGGGGAGTCAATAGTCATCTCTGTGGGGGCGGTCCATTCACCCTAGCGTTTTGACGTCATCATCGTGTTATGGTCAGATTTATTATCTGTTTTACCCTGACGATTAATCGCCAGGATACGTGCATCTATCCAGTGAGATAATCTGCATTGCATTTGACATTTTCATGTTTCTTATTTTGTACACAAATCATCTGATGTCCTGGTCTGTTGCCTTCAGCGTCGCGGAGCATGCGGACGAGAACATGATGGACGCGTACAATTTGGCCATCTGTTTCGGTCCCAGTTTGTTACCGGTCCCGAGCGAGTTGAATCAGGTCCAATATCAAGCGAATGTGATCGATCTAGTCAAAACATTTATCACACATCATGCGGTCATCTTTGACCCGATGGTTCCTGGACCGGTGTATGTGAAGCACACGTTACCCTCGGGTTCGGGACGCGAACTACCCACTGATCCGGTTCGTGTTGCCACTTCCCAATCCTCCTCGCACTCACCTGTGTTGGGTCAAAAAGATGGAACACTACAGCTGACTTGTGTCAATCGTATGGCTTCCGAGGTGGCCGAGACCGCTCTGCGACGTCGTCAGGCTTCCAATTCGCAAAAGAAGGCCGAACAACGCGATTCCAATGCCAGTTCACATACGAAGTCTTCCAGTGTCGGGTAATGATCGTTGACACATTCTTTCCTGTCATGTTATGATGCAATAGCCCATTTTTGGTTGATGTGTATCGTTCAGACTCAACTGATTGCCTGAATGTCGTTAGTTAGTTTATATGGCGTTTGGATTAGTCCATTCGATTTTTCACTGGCACCAGGCATTGAACAGTGCTTTTTGTCGGTTATCACAAACATTTCCACCGCATTTAAATGCATTCAAATAGTGGGGAATGAACGATCTCCCAAGGAGTGAAACCCACACCCAGCACTATCAACAATGCCTGATACTTGTGAAAAACCGAATGGGCTAATCCAAACATTCGCTATCTAAATTGATTGAGCTATTCGCACAAGGTGATAGCTGTTGACGGTGAGGTGGTGGTGGCGCAGTGGTTTAGTTGCTGTCACTAGTGTGCTTTGGGCCCTACGGTCTGAAGTTCGAGCCCCTCCACCGCCACCCACCTTTGTGGTAGGGAGCTTTTCTGTCGTCCGGTTCACTATTGCACCTAACCTATCGGGGCCTTATGTTGTTCACCACCCCAAGTCCCGGGGCTTAGGTTACCGGTTTCCATGACGGAGCAGCAGGTTTGCCCCGTCTGCTGTTCACCACGCAAATGTGTGTAGTGAAAAGAAAAAGGTTTGATGTCCCAACCCGAAGGTTCGCAGTTCGAGTCCTGACAGGGGCACAAAGGGATCGTGAATTAGTGTTCTTCAAAAGAGGCCCATATCGGTGGATTGTTGTGATGGGTATTACTGACTGTACCTTCCCGCAAAGCTCATCTTTCAATATCCTTATGGGTGCTTGAGGTTTTAGACGACTATCACATAGGTGCACACATCAGTGCTAAATGTCGGAGGTTCTAAACTTTAACGTTCTGCGATTGGATTCGACTAGCCAACTAACGGGCTGTTTGTCGGCACAACAACACCATCTCCTTTTTGGGATCCTAGTGTGATACACTATTTGACTACTGGTTCCGATAATTGAACATCTGTCATCTTGGTTATTTGTTTCATCCTCGTTTCACATATGTTCCGTGTCATGTCTTATATGCCAATTTTCTGATTTGGCTTGGGTTTACCGGTTATTTTCACAAAATAAAATATTTTCCGTACTATCATGTTTACTTCCTTATCCCCGATGATACCTTCAGTTAAAAAATGATTAAATACAATCCAGCTCGATAACTGGAAGGCTTACTGACATACACCCAGTGATGGTTTACAATCATTGACAATAGTTTTGCATCCTGAGGGTATTTAACAACAACGTGCCACTTCAGGCAGAACGTGGTAGTTGTCTGTCTGTGTGCGTGCCAGCTGGATCTCCAACTTTTTCTGTAATCACTACCAAGTGATAGTTTTGTCATTCATCATTTCCTAGTCCAGAAATTGTTTTCCTGTTTATCCCGGTCGTCTGTGTCACTCCTCCTGATGAATTTGTCTCGGTTTCTCGTTTTACCGTCTTGCGGATCAGGCTTTGGTTAGCCAAAGGCTGGGTTGTGGATTCCTCAAGAAAATTCACCTACCTTGGCCTGGGTAACCCGACAGTATTCCGCTAAGATCATTTTCTTTTTATAAAGATTATTGTTCAATGATATGTTTGGCACACAGTCTGGATTCAGACGTGTGATACATATATATATATATATATATATATATATTACTTATTCCCGGAGCTCTACAACTGGACTCGCCCCTAAAATGTTTGTAGGTCTAATAAAAATACACCCTGATTTCCTTATCGGTATCCCGCCGTGGTCATGAGATTTCTATGGCACATGGTAAAGTGCATCCGGAATGTGGATTTAAAACGTGGGCGCGCTGAGCTTTTTGCCCGCCTTGTGTGCAAATCTGAATCGTTCCCATGCACCCGACCGATCAGGGACGAGAGGTTGTCATCGCGGTTTGTTTATTCTGCTGAAAAGAAACGATCATGTGAATGGACATCAGTTGGTCAAACTGTGTCACGTGATGCGCGAACGATGCACATTTGAGAGTGTATTTGCGGTATTTATCTATTCAAATGGATATCACTGGTGCTCGCTTCTCTCAAGTCCGAAAAATCGACTTTCTCTTATGAACAGTCACTTCGCATAATTCTCCTATCTTCCTTTCTGTACCAGTCTGGTGTGGAAACCGGACGACCAATGTTGAGGTTTAGTTAATCGCGATCGCCCACTGGAGCGAGTGGTCGACCTCCATAGATTACGCTGTTTGGGACATATGTTGCGCATGTCACCAGATAGGTTGCCACGGCGCGCGATGCTTGCCGAGGCAGGTAATGGGTGGAGAAAGGTCATGGGCAGTCAAATTTATGACGTAACGTGAGGGTATGAAAACCCCATCCAGGTCGCGTTAGGCTCCCACAAGACAGAAATCAAAACCGGCGCACAAAAATGCATGGTTAATGTTTGTAAAAACTGAACTGAACTGTTAGGCTCCATGAATGGGGACCCTGAGATGTGTACGTCTTTTTACTTCCTTTTTCATTTATTGAATATACAAATGTACAGCCAACATTCAGGAAGAGGGCCGCGGCCATACAAAGGAAAACGGGCAGCGGTGGAGCCGTTCTTACCCGGGACTCACAGGTCACAAGTGGGTGACCTAACCACTTGGCCACCACTGCACATGATAACCGATGGTCAGAGGCTGTTGGCTGTCGTAAACAGTCGCTCTTGTACATCTACTCAGTGTTCTTGCCACCAGTCTATATGAGTTCTCTATCTTTCCTTTGACTCTGCTCTCAGTACTCCAGTCTTCATTCTGCTGTTTTTTCCAAATGGGCAACCGAAACCGGCGCACGAAAGTGTATGGTTAATAGTTCTAAAAATTGAACTAAACTGAAACTGCAAAACGGAACTCTTGGCCTCAATGATGTTTGTTTTTGAATCAAATATTTATTCCATTCACATGTATTGGCAATTGTGTGCCGTGCAGTGGACATCACTACAAATCTCGATAATCGGATTCCTAATATACACTATCCTGTTCATTCCAGTGCTGTAGTTTTGCGCACTAATTTATCTGCACACTTCAGCTAATAAAAGCAATCAGGAGAGAAATTAAAAAGGAATAAGCTTTTTCTATTGCGCATCACAGGGTACGATGTATCAAAGGAGTATGGTATTGCGTCACCTCAGGGGTACCCATTCGCGAAGCCTAACGCGATCTGTCAGCAAGTTTCCTGGTCAGGTCCTACCAGGTTCTGTTGTGATCACCCACCATACTAGCTTCCCTTATGCTGAAATATTTCTTGAAATGCGCACTTTTTACTGTTAAACTCCATAGACGACGGTTGAGGTCAGAGGCAGTCTAGGTTTGTAACTGATAAGTGAGTGATCTTGTCTTATTGACTCAGATGTATTCCATCTACACTTGTGTTGTTCAGCGATGTATGTGGCCAGGCAGTTGCCTCATTTACCGACTGAGCCTGTACAGCCTCATCAAACCCCTCAAACAACGCACATACGACTTGGTGACAAGCCAAGAGGAGTATACGCCTTCGTGAACTTGCCATGTTCGATACTTGGTTGACCTGTGCGACCATGCATTTGATCGGCTATTGTAACCACATTGATACTTATGAATGCTTCTCCAGGCACATAAATGCCAAGACCTACCAATCCTCTGGATAATCTGGATCAGTTGATCAGGTCTCGCTCAAAAACGAACAAAGCGCTGTGATCTATACAATCATACATTGTTGCCATCTAGTCTGATTGGTACCCAGTTCTCTTCGTTTCCTCTTATTCGACAGACAACAGTCCCATATCCGACAAAAAACTGAACCACATAGCGTTTCACTTATCCCTTCCTGTTCTTCTGTATGTGTGTGTGAGTGTTTCACTGGGTTTTAGCAATCCTATAGTCTCCGTTGCTAAAATGTCAGGTACGTAAGCGAAATTCACATTTGGTCTAATGCATGTGCTCCGGCTCATCCGCATCCTTGGGGGCGCTTTTTCGCATATCCAGTTACTGTGACATTTTCGGTCCAACGTCGTTCTTATCCACACTCATTATGCTCCCACTCCCGGTTTTTTTGCAGTGATCTATTGGATGCGGATCGTTCAGTCG